CGGCTACAAGAGAAGAATGCAATGATTTGGTTTTCATAATGAATGCCAGATCTAAGTGATGATTCAGTCCATCCTCAATAACCTTCAAGCGAAGCTGAAACCTTTCCTGCAAATGTATCCGGAGTGAGGCACATGTAATTAATTAGAGGACATGCTCAGAAGCAACAGTTAATGGATGTAACATTATCACACTGTACTTTGAGTTAGACCTCTGTTTTGGTTGCACGTTCTGCTAATGATAGCTTGTCACGCAGTTGCTGCATTTCTTTTTATAGAACAGAATGTAATAAAGACATATGTTAAAACAATTGAAAAGAAAATTAAACATAATAGATTACCAAATGAATACCATCAACACTCGACGTTCTTCAAGCCATTACTTTGCTGGCATAACTTTGTCGTTGGCATCTTTCCACTCATTGGTAGTAGCAACAACAATTCTGTTTTCGGTAACCATTGCATGAGATAATGTCCATTTTAGGGTTTTCTTCTCTCCCTGAGAACAACAGAAATAAGGTGAGGATAAAAATAGAACAGTGGATCTCCGTATGTAAAAAACACATTTGGGTAATAATAGAAAGATTCATTTCCTCAAAAATATTAATATGAATACCCAAGTAATCCAAAATAGAAGTTTTCTTTTAGGTCATGAATGATGAGTTGAAAGATATGAACGGATGTATATGGATGATATCTTCAGCTCAATAACCTGACGCTTATAGTTTTTCTTGCAAACAAGTATTTTAAAGAAGGTAAAAAATATGCAAACACTCATCTGTCCAACCCAATTCTAGTTAAAATCACCCAGATACGCTGCACCAAATTGCTTCACCTTTAATATTCGTTATACTTTGAGATAATGATAGGGGAAGAAGAAAGCCACCCAAACTCTTGAACTGGTAAAAATAATGGAAAAAGTGATGTTATTTAGCTAAATTTATGGACATATAGGCAGACAGATCCACTTTCCCATTGGAAAAGTATAATATTAAAAACATCCATAAATTGAGGAACATCAAATTGATATTAACCCTAAATAAGCATGTCATTATAAGTCTTTGAATAGTTAGAAATTTTTAATACCAGAATCTCAAACATATGAAATGTAAATAATTTAAAGAAGTTTAGCAATAAATTTTTTTTTTCATAAGTAGACAGTGAATCAGAGAGTTAATTCATCTAAGCTTATGTGCATTGATTTTATAACATACAGTCTGGGAGTAAACCAAACATAACAAGTAGAAATGCTGAAGAATGTTCCAAGCATGAGGGGCCAAACTGTTTGCACAAGTAACTGTCATACACATCCGCTCTAAGATGAATATATTTATGATTATTTTGTTTCAGCGAGTCTTCTGTCCTACACAAAATTGGCCTCTGAAATGATTATAAAATCTTACCCGTGATTTCAAATTCTAACCAATCAATAACCAGTTGATATTCGAACTATCCAACATAACCTGTGTAAGGACTCGGGTTCAAGTCTTCACTACATATGTGAGCTCAATTTCTGACACAGCTGCCAACTACTACTGGCCTACTGTTATGTGAGTGTAAAATATCTTTTTAAAAGGAAAAACATTATAAAAAAAGATGAAGTTGAGCTAAACAAGTCAGATCTATGTTTATATGGGTCAGATACAGATCTTACTAAGTAGATTATGGTGGCTTTAGATGAAAACAGTCAAGAAGCCGGAATGATTAGCCAAAGTCATAAACGATCAATCGAGCATTTTACTTGCTCACTCAGTAGTACATCATGATTAAGGTAAACCATATTAGAGGCTTAAGAAAACATACAGTGGAAAATTTAAGCACACCAAACAATGAGGTTTTCATTCCAATGGTTTGGAAGGTATTGCTTTATAGCAGGTAACATTGTTGATCTGCATGAAAATTGCCCACAGAAGGTGAGGAAGTATAAAGAAAAAGAACAGAAAAGATGAGAAATTACGGCTATCCTTATCATTAATAATGTAGCTACAATAAAGTAGGTTAACAGCAAGAGTAAAAACCATAGGAAAGAGCAATGATCCCCAGCACATTTAGTTATTATTTTGACTTTCTTTGTTTATTAGAATTATTCTTTTATTTGTAGTTATTATGCTGTATGTGCCTTAAATTAGAGCTTGAATCAGATTGAATCGAATTTAATGTTGAGATGTTCACTAAGCATAATAAGTTACTCTAACCAGAGAAAAATTACCTATCACAAACTTTAAAAATAGTAAAAAATGTCGTAGAAAGTTACATGGTAGTTTTACGACAGTCACGAAATCAATGACGGTATAACAATACTTTAGTGGTTTTATATGAAAATTTGTGGCAGCTTATAAAAAGTAAATAAAAGTTCCACTGGAAGCTTTTATAGATAGCACATTGTATATTTGCTCTTGATCTAAAATTTAGGGTAATAAAAATTGTGTTTGTCTTGTTTTTTGTTTTTGTTTTTTTGTTTTTTGTTTTTGCAGAACACTAATCGTTTATGATAGTCTTGCGGAAATTAGTCACAATTTAAGCAAAAGGCTGTCTACAGAGATAGTTGACTGATATTTCTTTCTACATGAAATTAGGAATCATATATCAAATAAATTTACATATATGCATGGATAATACATGATATATACATATATGCTATGTTTTTATAAATATCATATTTATGTATAGTATTTTTATACTCAAAAACACATAGATATATACAGATGTGGACCTTATGGTTCAATAATTAAAAAATTGCTTTTTCAACCAGCTATCCATTGCTTTATCAATATATATTTCTCGAAGAAAGTGAAACAGTTACTTAAATGTAACATTCTAAAATTATTGAGACATACAAATATGAAGTTTTAATAAAAGTGCTATGCAATCTGATTGGTCAAGGGGAGCTTATTTTGGTCTTCACTCTCAGATTTGTTTGGTACATACGTATGGAGTAAGATTGGGAATATTATATGCTCTCAGATTTGTTTGGTACATGATTAAGAAAAATAATATGCAATCTGAGCTTTAGGAGAAAGATGTCATCGGCCAGGCTCTAGATAGAAAGATGACATACTCAATGATGAAATTCATCTTGTACGCTTATTTTGGTCGAATAACCACCATACATGAAAGTAATTCATTCCCTTGATTCAAAACCTCTAGAGACAAACTAAATTTCACAATCACGATTGTACTCGATTGAACAGACTCCAAAATTGTATATAAAGCAGTAACATTACGAAAAGATAGAAATCAACAGTAAGAAAACTAAGAAGGAATAATTAGAAAAGGAAGATTTTTATATTAAAAAATTACATATATGCATGGATAATACATGATATATACATATATGTTATGTTTCTACAAATATCATATTTACGTATAGTAATTTTTTACTTGGAAACACATAGAGAGTGAAATAATTAAAATAATTAAAATAATTGCTTTGTTCAACCAACTATACATTGCTTTACCAATATATATTTATCAAAGAAAGTGAAACGGATACTTAAATGTAACATTCCAAAATTATTGAGACATGCAAAGGTCATGTTGTCAAATGTTGGAAAGAAGAGAACCAATCTTAATCCTGCAAAATAAACCTAATCATGCCATGTGCAGCATCTTCCTAGCATTACAAAAATTACTCAAAACTCCTCTTCACCTAAACAGAGCCAAATTATTTCAAAATCCATGATTTAGACAACCACTTGTCTATTACTACTTTTTCTACATTTTGTAAATTGTGTTAGTTGCATGCTTTCTTGTTGTTTTTATTACTCTTTGTGTTGCACATTTCCTCAGATTCTTGGTTGACTTCCGCTTGTAATTGCAATTAGTTGCAAGTTCTTTATACGTATGGAGTAAGAGTGAGGATATTATATGCGGCTACACTTCCAATTGGTCAAGGGGAGCTTATTTTAGTTTTCACTCTCAGATTTGTTCAGTACATACGTATGGAGTAAGAGTGAGAATATTATATGCTCTCAGATTTGTTTGGTACATGATTAAGCAAAATGCTATGCAATTTGGATGCAAGCTAGCTTTAGGAGAAAGATGCCATCGACTAGACTCTAGATAGAAAGATGACATATTTAATGATGAAATTCATCTCGTACGCTTATTCTGGTTGAATAACCACCGTACATGAAAGTAATTCATTCCCTTGATTCAAAACCTCTAGAGACAAACTAAAATTTCACAAGTACGATTGTACTCGATTGAACAGACGACAAAATTGTATATAAAGCAGTAACATTACGAAAAGAGAGAAATCAACAGTAAGAAAACTAAGAAGGAATAGTTAGAAAAAGAAAGATTACTTTCGAAATATGACTTTATATAGTTATATACATAAGATATATAGCAAGACTTAGTCTCTTAAAAATTTATATTAATTTGTAGACTATATAATTACGTTATGTGTGTATTTGTACTGGATACTACATAAGATATTTTCTATTTCAAAAAATTAATATATTATTTCTAGATTCTTCATATCTTTAATTGAATTCTCCATCTTTTACTTTCTTGGCTTTTCCTTTAATTCTTGATTTTTCTTTTATTGGTCTTGATTTTATTTCCTTCATCTTTCTTTCTTTCCTTTTTGATTATATTGATTCTTTTTATCACATCCACTCTTTATGTAGCCATTCTCAATCTCATTTTGTGCTTATTCATAGACAATCACTCTCTCTATCTCTCCATAATCACGTTCATCACTCCTAATTGTCACACACACAACATAAGAACCGATTCTAATTATTTCTTACAGACACCTTTCTCGTGGGATCGATAACTTTTTATATTATAACTTGATTAGTTGTGCACTTGCAACTTTGGACATCATTTATGTCCCGTCACCGCCCTCTTCTCAAGTTCCAACCTCCGTCGTCACTGCCATGATATATCTGCCACCCTCGCCTTCCGACAACGCTGTTGTTCCACCGGCGCCGTCGTCCTTACCTTCCAACAGTGTCGCAGCCTCCTTCCTCCAACACCGCCTCGAGCGAGCAACAATGGAAGCCTCTTCTTCTCATGAAGTCATCTTGTCTATGGTCGCCTCCTCGAGCGAGCAACAATTGTCGCCTCTAATTGAGAAGGTAATAAATTTTACATGTGCTTAATTTTATTGTGGGATAGAACTTTTGGTTAATGTTTAATTGGAGGAAAGATTGGATTTTGAATGAATTTATATCAGAATAATATATGTCGGCAAATATTATTTAGTTTTTATGTCGTAATAATATATGTCGGCAAATATTAGAGAATTGTTAATATTTCATGTATGTAAGTAACATTGTAGGATAGATTTACATTTATTTTTAAGTTCATGACTAATAAATTCATATGATGCTTTAATACTACAGAATTGTCGAATTGAGGATGGAAAAATTAGTGACGATGGTATTCCATTTGAAGGGAAGGAGTTTCAGACGGACAACGATGCATACAACTGCTACAATGCATATGCAAAGAAGATTAGGTTTGGAATTCACAAAGATACTTTTGAAAAATCAAAGAAAGATTCAAGAAAGATTCTTTTGAGGACTTTTGTTTGTGATAAAGCAATGAGAAAGAGAGCATCAACTAAAAATGCAAGTGGATTGATTATCAATCGTCGTTCGGAAACTAAAGTTGGTTATGGTGCAAAAATGACGATTAGGCTTACTTCTTCAAAAGCGTGGAAGGTTACTAAGTTCATTTCTGAGCATGTTTATCCTTTAACAAGCCCTGATAAAGTAATGCATCATCATTCTCACAAGCAGCGACATCTATCGAAGCATTGCATTAGCCTCACTGAGTTGTTGCATGAAGAGGGAATGCAACCATCTAATATTAAAAAGCTGCTTAATGTTGGATATCAGGGACAAGATGTTGAACAAGTCACCACACAACAGATGATTGATCATATCAGAAAGACATGCAAAGTAACATTGGCTGTGAATGCTTAAACATCATCAGAAAGACTAATTGATTTCTTTTTGTCTTTCATTTTTAGAAAAAGCAAAATAGATAGTTTGCGAGATAGCTTACTAAAGTATTTTGAAGCTCAAGAACAATGTGGTGTTAAATGATGTGTTTGTTTATTGACCAATTTAGTTGTTTATTGTCTAATTTGGTTATATGGGCTTATTATTATAAGGACTTATTGACTAATTATGATTGTATAAAAGTATTTGTATGTTGTGGTGTAGGCGTATAAAATTGCTTATAGGTCCCTTAATACAGCTCAACACAAACCGACGAACCAACGAGGCAACGAGATTAATGAATCGCACGCAAAGAACGGAATAAATCCATTCACGTGCGGAATCAAGCTAACAGGTTGAAGAATCAACGAGTCATTCATCCAAGGGCAGACTCGGACAAATCACGATAGAGTCAAGATCAATTTCGAACTCGAACTCAGAAGTGGATTTACTGCCATATCAGGAATCAGGTCAACGAATCGAATCCGAACAAGTCAAACACACAACCGAATCACGGACAGAACCGAAAGACGGAAAACGATGGAACCTATAGGGGCTCGGCCAAAACCGGGCCACCTATAGGTGGCTCGGCCAAGAGCCGGCCACCTACAGGTGGCCGACCCAGATCTGTGCGCGGACACAGTTCAGAGAGCCTATAAATAGGAGGCCTAGGCTCATTTGTCAAAGGTTGGATTTTTTGGAGGCGAAGCCCTGCTGGATTCGAAGCTCAGATCTAAAAAAGATTCAAGCTTTGGGACTTTGAAGACTTGCTCATCCAGATCCGGTGCTCGGCGATCTTCAACGCCAGATAAGGCAAGAGTTCGAGAGGAACCGGATCTCAAATCGGATCTCAGATCTACGCAAGCATACTCCGGATCAAAGCTTGGTCTTTGATCCCGAGATTTGGGCGATTATTTCCTTAGTGAAATAATCCTCCCCGGCTATTATTTCCTTCTTGAAATAATACCCGTCGTACTGCGTAGATCCGACCGGATCTAGATCTCGCGATGGTCCACGGATAAACCCCGGCGCAGGCAAACAACCCACGCAAGCGAGCGACCGCAAAACAGGAGCTCGTGATTCGTTCGACAAACAAGGAAACAAAGTTGTAATTTTTCATTTCTTTTTTATTTGATTTTCGTTGTAACCGGATCTTATAAAAAGACCGGATCTTTGTAACTCAAAAAGCTGTTATCTAAGATGACAATGGAATCAACAATGAAGAAAGACACGATTTTCACCGCGAACAAGATTCTCTAATTTCTCCCACGTTCCCTTGGAGGTAGTCTCCTCCATCACTTTGTAGGTAACTTCGTCGGATAAGTGCACCTCAATTGAGCTCATCGCCTTGAGGTCTGCCTTATTCCAAGCCTCCATAGACATCGTCTCTGGCTTTTGCTCAACCCCCAGAATGGGTCCGTGTCAAACGGAACCGTTCGACGCTGGAGGAACGCATTCGCAAGCGCCGTGCACTATCAGCGCAGGCACGGGCTCAAGCTGAAGAAGCCCGTAGAAAGCTGCAGAAGGAAGTGGCCAAGAAACCGCCATCAATTCGCAAAGTTTGGAGGCCAAAATCTGAAGCGGCGATTCAGACTAAGGAGCAACAACTGCAGCTTTCGAAACTGCAACTTCCGGCGAATCAATCCAAACCGCCGGTGATTTCCACAACTGCTCCGGGAGATCCCGCAGGACCATCCCAGAAAAGGAAGTCGGTTTTAGAGCGCCTCGGTCCACTGCCCGAGGAACGAAGCAAAGCTTCGGTCAAAGAACGTTTGGGCTCGCTAAGGAAACCCCGAACGAATCAACATGCTGGGAGTCGCCGCAACCCTCAACATGACAAAGAAATTATAGCACCCAAGCGCACTACTTTGCGCATTGAAGTACAGGAGCCCGTTGAGAATTCACGCCCACAAAGGCGCGTTTTGAGGCGCGTGACTCTCGAAAACCCAAAGAAGGCAGTTCACCCTCAGAAGGAGACATTATCGTCTGATGACGATGACGTTATACCTGAGAAATCGTGACAACACACGATAGGTTGCTCCGACTTTCAAACGGACGAGCTATACTATCGTGCTGGGGGTACGAGCAAAGCCAGAAAGAGAAGTCCTCGAAGGCTAGAAACTCAGTGCCCTTGTTCAAAGCTCATTCGGGCGGTACTGTCCGAGTGCAACTGCATCAAGGCAGTCCCCGAGAGAGTTTCGGTGTTCGAAAGACTTAGTACCGAAACGCCAAAACCAAGGCCTAGGCATTTCCGACGAAGAAGAACGGCGGTTGAAGATGGAGAATTTCCGAGGGTCACCGCTAACATGACCAGCAAAAGGACATCGACACAGGGTAATCCCGAGTCGATTCCGGAAGCACCCCAGTGTGTAACCCGTCTGCAGTCTGGAGCCATCATACGAGGAACTTATGGTAGGGTTCGGACAAGATTACCATCAGAAGATGAAGAATCAGATTCCTGCTCTGCTGTCGCATCAGACAATACAGTATCCAGCGAGGGACAACCCCGTGAGTCACTGATGATAAGTGCGGAACAAGTGGCCAAGATGCTTGAAGAGGCCATGGCTAAATAACAGGAGAGCTTCAGGTTCGAAATACAGATGGCCATGCAGAACATGAGAGAAATGCATGACCAACAAATCCAAGCATTGACGAACCAGCAAGGCGAGCCAAGTCGTCATAATCAGGTTAATCTGGAAGATGAGGACACAGGTGCGAATGAAGCCCATAACGCTAATAATCCTCCCATCAATGCAGGGGGTGGTAACGAGAATGCTGATGAAGACTCAGGTGAAAACTTGAAGATTAAAAATCTTGAGAGCAAAATCAATACGTTGATTTCCGCTCAAGAGATGAAGAAGACGGGCATTCCTTGTCCATACCCACGAGAATGGGAATCAATCCCCTATCCGACGAAGTTCAGTCTAATTAACTTCACGCCGTTTGATGGGAAGGGTTCGATTTATTTCAAATCGCACCTGGGTATTATTTCCGGCAATGAGCCTCTGATGGTGCGGTCATTCGTCGGCACTCTTCGCGGAGCCGCCTTCGATTGGTATCGTCGCCTCAAGCCAGGAAGCGTGAACAGCTGGGACGACATGGAGACTAAGTTCCTCGCTAACTTCTTCGACGACGACACCGAGATTTCAATTGGCACACTATTTGATGAGAAGCAGAAAAATGGTGAAACAGTTGAAAACTTCGTAAAGAGATTCCGAAACAAAGCAATGAATTGCAGGGATCCGGTCAGTGAAGACTTTATCCTCGAGACTTGTCACAATAATCTTTCATTGGACATCCTCGAAGCAATGGGAACGGCACCGTCTAACACTTGGAAAGACTTGAAGGTGCGCGGTGAACAAGCCGAACGCTTCCTCCGAAGGAAGAAGGCCGAGAGGAACCTACCGACGGCTAATCCTCCGAACTCAAACTTTGCCTCTCGTGGTAAAGGCAAATCACCTGCTACAGCTGTTGACGCTAACCAGACGTCGCAAAATCAATTCCGAAAACAACAGAAGACTTCGGGTCCGAGACTCTAAAGAGAGTATTCCTTCAAGGACGAAGACGTTCCAGCCATCTTCGAATCCTTCCTTGGAAGCAACAAGATCAAGCTACCACCTATCACAAATCAGGAGGAAGCTGACAACACTACGGACCTAAAGTACTGTGCATACCACAGGAGGGTCGTTCATCCCACCAAGGATTGCTTTGCTCTCAAGAATAGCATTCAGACCTTGGTTGAAGCCGGCGTCATAACGCTAAGGTAAGCCAGTTGAGAACGGCACCACTTCGATAAGTATAAGAGTATAAACTGCTTAACCAGACTCCAAAGAGTATACGAGTATAAACTGTTTCTCAATCCTCCAACAGGTGCAAGAGGTTAAACTGCTCCCTGCATACTCCAATAGGTATATGAGTCTAAACTATTTCCCACTTTTGACAGGAAGTTCCTGGAGAATATTACGTAGGATAACCCGTTCAGGTAACTGAGAATAATGTCCGAACCAGTTCTGCAGAGAAAGCTGGGGATGGATAATTCGTGTAACGGGAAGTTCCCAAAAGAATGTTAATATTCTTAGGGATAACCCGATCGATATGAACAAAGTGATGAACACTAAATCTCTCACCGATCAGACTAATTGACGGTGGGACCACTAAATTCGATCAAGTTTAATCCAATCAAACTTACGCTATGTTCGTGCACTCAACACTTTCATAGTTAGAGTCCGGATATAATAAACCTTGATCTGTCACCTGGTCAAACCTTTCTACAGTTAGGACCACAACCAAAATCTCCTCTCGGTTCCTCCAATGAACGAGAGGTCCACTTTCAAATCGAGCGATCAAACCTTCCTACATTTAGGATCGTCTCAAACCTCCCAATTGGTCAAACCTTCTTACAGTTAGGACCACAGTCAAAATCTCCTCTCGATTCCTCCAATGAACGAGAGGTCCACTTTCAAATCGAGTGATCAAACCTTCCTACAGTTAGGGTCACCTCAAACTCCCATTTGGCCAAACCTTCCTACAGTTAGGGTCAAAACCATAATTCACTCTCGATAAACGAGAAATTCATCTTTAGTTCGGTAATCAAACCTTCCGACAGTTAGGGTTATCTGAATCTTTTCGATTCTTGGAGTGGAGATCCCACTCTTAGTTTCACTTTTCCGGATTCTGGGGTGAAGATCCCACTCTTAGTTTCACCTTTCCGGATTTTGGGGGTGGAGATCCTACCTCGAGTCTCTTTTCCAGCTGAAGATAGAATATAAAATTCTTCTTCTTCAGTGTCGGGAGATAGAATATAAAATTCTTCCTCTCCCATTTTGGGTTCGTCTTTACCCTAAAAGAAGACACCACCTTTTTCAACTCCTAAAATCTGTGCCTCACAGGTACTAGGAAGTTTATCCTGAATCCTAAGCAGGGATAAGTCTGCGCCTAACACGCGCTGCCGGTTTAGTCTTTTTCCGTAGAAAAAAACACCA